GCCCCCCCCCCCCCACTTATTGCAAATACCCCCATTCCAATGGCTGGTGCATTCTCTGGGGCCCCCCCCCCCCCATTCTTGGCTTTCAACGGTCATTTTGTACTGAGCTGCTGTTTTTTAATAGGTTCAACAATGGATTGATGAAATGCTGTCCTTTTCTTCCCCCTATTAACAGATTTACTAGGAGAAGAGAGAAAAGCCAATTGTTTATTTTTCTTCTTTTTTATTTAAAACAGGGTGAAATTGGCAAGAGTTCTGCCAAGTTTCCCTTTCTATCCCAAATGACTGGAAGAATTGTAAAACGAATGTTTCTCTTTTTTCACCCAAAAACAGACCTGTCCACAGAAGGGAATGCAGTCAGCCCTGGCTTTCTGGCCATAAGAGGGAGGGGGAGAGAAGCAGGGGAATTCCACCAATTTGGGGCTGTATTAACTACAGTCTGGGCAGAACCCCTGGCCATCACTGTGGCCAAAGTGGAGATAGATCGAACAATCAATCAATCAATTACCAAACCATCTGCTCTGCTATTATTCAACCAATGGACCTCCCGCTGTTGAGGAGAGGAAAGCATGAAGCAGAATCTTCATCAGCTGAGTGGTGACAGCTACCACCTTCCTCTCAAAGCTGCCAAACAGCTGATCGGTGAAGCCTTATTTCTGCAGCTCCACCGCCGGGTAGATGACTGGGTCTAGCAATTGTGCAGCCTAGTCCCATTCAGAATCAAACAAGGGCCATCGAATAATCCTTCTCGTCAGGTCACCTGAGAGGCTTCTCTTTGCTGCTGCTCTCACCATAAAGCCTCACTGCCACAGCACCTTATCCAAAGAGGGTCCAAAGTCCCTCCACCATTCACCCAGGACCTCTTCAACTCCCCAGACCAGCCTTGACATAGTTATTTCTATAAAACTCAAATATCTCATCCCCAGCATGCATCTGGCCTCAGCCCTATTTGGGGGGTGGGGGGAAGCCATGGACCCACATCATGTCCATGGCATTGCCCCACTCAGTTAAGCTAGTAACTCTGGCATTATGTTTTTGTAACAAAGCCGTGCTTCCCCTTGTGAAGAACTGGCTGTGCACGTGCTTATTCTATTGGTGTAACTGTTTTATTTATGTAACATCTGGAAATTTCTCCAGGGAGAAGCAGTTTTAGCTCCGTTAAATAATCATGTTCATTGTAGAACCTTCAAGATTACAATGGATGGTTGTTTTCAAAAATATAA